ATTTTCATTGAGCATTTCACATCTCATCATTTGGTGCATTTTATTCGCAATCGTTAAAAGGTCAGACATTTCAGATTTTGTGGTGAAAATTTATTTTTTAATTTCAACCTCGTTTTCTTCAGTTCAAGGGACTTGGCGTAACCCAGCATTTGGGGATATCACAGTAACATCAGTGACACGAGATCGTGAAACCGAGAGTATTGGCATTGATTTTGAATTTTTTGGACTAAGTAGTAAAACTTCATGCATTCTGATATGAAAAGTGCCTTTTTATACAATTTGTTTGGGATGTTCAAGTTTTGCTGCATTTATGCTTTCTTTTTTTTTTTTTTGCATATTTGTCTTTATGTCCTAAACAACCTCTTCGTGTTTCCGTGTTTAGGCAACCAGCAAATCCCTTCCTACTTTCTCACTTTTCTCCCCTCTTCCTTTTCCAGAATCCTTAGGATTTTTCGAAATGCCTTTTTGTAGAATTTGCTTGTTTTCAGAATCTCTATGTTGCACTGTGGTGTGCCAGTACTGTTGAAATGCAGTTCTGACACCGTAACAAATTTCTAGGTACGGCACAAATCCAGGATGGTTTCTAGCACGATTCTGTCTGCTGCTACCGTTGATTTTATTCACTGTGCTGATGAGTGGCCTAACGATATTCGGTTTTTCGTTTAGCAAAGGCCAAGAACGAGAAATTTCTCTGGAAGATGCCGAAAAATATCCATTTCAGTATTTTTCAGAAATTCATGTTAGTTTTCATACAATATTTGGCTGATTTTAATCGCTTTTAAACAAAAGCATAATTTTTTTAATACCTAAATTATTATTTAGCAAAAATTTTTGGTGAATTTTTCGATTTTTTAAATTTTCTATTTCTTTGAAATTTTTTCAGTATAATTTTTTTCAGTTTTTTTTTTCAGTATAATTTTTTTCATTATCAGTGCATCTCTATTTTCAGGGCTTCTTTCGTACCACTATCGCTCTAATGGATTACTCGTCAGCATTTACGGGCATTTTAATATTTGCATCAAGTCGTATACGTTCCGGCAATATGCCAATGAATGCTCTGGCACTTCTTACTGCGCAAATGGTCTGACTTTCACCAACTTCAGTTTTTTTTTTTCTGAAGAAATTAATTGAGGGAATTTTTTTTTCTTAGATAAAAATTAGTGAGACAACTGCTGTGCTGATGAAGTCCGTATGGCACTGAATTGAGAAACTATATTGGGAAATACCAGAGGGCTGCTGTCAGCTTATTTCTAGGCAATCCCGGGGAGTGGGAACCATTGACAGTCTTACCATTGGGGTTCACTCGGGCTATTTCCAAACGCTACCACCTCTCTGTGGGGGAAGGGGACGGGGGGAGGGGGGGGAGGGGAGAAGTGGGGGAGGAGCGAATTTTGTTTTTTATTATCTTATATTCTTAGCAAAATCGCTTAAGTTTGTCGCTAGTTTCAGTTCGAGTAAAATCTGTGTTTTCAGTTGCCACCGACGTTTTACTACGTTTTGAGGGATGGATGTGACGGTCATCTGACAAAAGTACAACCTGCTTATGAAAGTTACACGGCCACTGGTAATTATTTTTTTAATTTGTTTGTTTCATAAAAATCTTATTTGATCTCATTTGCTCACTTTTCCCCTTATTTCTAACAGATTTCTATTTTTAGCAATATGAAAGAACTGTTTTCAGTGTTTTAAAAAATTACATTCATTTTCGTAAGTCCCCAGAAAACTTGGTTCAGGATAAAGATCTGTCTTTTCTCATGTTATACTTCCTACTCGAAAAACTTTATAGTTACAGATAATTCTGGTCAAACCAAAACAAAAATATATTTTAAAGCTCAGCTTTTGACTGAACGCCAGATTCTTAGAGTTAAAAAAGTTTTTCATCCCCCGTCCAATATTATGAGCTACAACTGCTAAATTATTCTTGCTGTATGGGCTTAGTTGTTCACGAAACCTTCGAGGATCCACAGTCCTGCTTTTATATAATAATTTTCGTTTTGAAATTAAAAAATTAATTCATGGGTACTTAATTATCATTGTAGAATTGTATTGTAAATTGCTCTAGTACGATCATATTTTAATACTCCGATTTGTTCATCTTAAGGTAAATCCGCTTTTACACACTGACAGTTTAATCAGTTGCTGCTTCATTGTTGCGTTTCTTCTCGCCATTGATGCATCTAACAACCCCATTTTT